CTACTGATAGAATTTATTTTTGTCATCTGTTAAACATGTCATCTGTTTTCCCATGACTTTAGTTTCTTCATTTCATATGTGATTTTGTGTATATATGTAGGCATGTGTGTGTGGTTTCCTTTTTTAGAACAAGATATATTTCTTTGAAGATGAGACTCAATGGGCTATTTGCTGTTTTTCTTTCCTCACCTAGGATATGTTCAATTTAGCTCACAGTCTTTCTTTCTAACAATATGGGTAAAAATGACTGACTGTTCAACATTACAGATTGAAAATAAAACCTGTGATTCCTAGCCTCTTTTTTTGTACTTCATTTTAAAATCGAACATATTTTTCTTTCTTTATGTTTTCTTTTTTCTGTCATGGAGATAAGGTGTTTAGTTCTATAGGTAGTCAGTGTCCAGTATCCTGAAGACTTCTATCTGTTATTTTGCTTGTCTTCCTTTATTATGTTTGTGTTCAGTTAGTCTAGAGAAAGAAGATCTTGTAGTGTTGGACTGAATTCTAGTGCCACTAATGATAAGCTTGTATAGCATTTCCTCTTAAGTGAATGATTTCTTCCGTATGTTTGATGTAAATATATATGATATCATATGCTCTTGGTTGTATGTACTCTTGATTGTATGTTTCCAGGTATATTTCTTTTTCTCAGAGAAATCTTTCAGTTTGTATCTTTCCTAAAATGGGGTTTTCTTACATTGGGTTTTTGTTATTGCTGATTACAGGATATTATTTATTCTTTGCACCCTGTTGATATTCACCTATTTTACTTTCATGGTTAATCATTTTTTTCTACAATATAATGAAGCAGGATATTTACCTGTCCCTGTGGGACTCACAACAGGGCTGTCTTGTTTACCCAGCCCAACACTCTTAACTACTTGTGGAAAGGAGTGCACAAGTGAACAAGTGTGGGAACTGGAGTGAAGGAGTGCTGGAACCAGCCAGCTGCTTTGGTGCCAGAGGGCTCAAACTCCACTCACTCGGACCCACTGTGTCCCACCCCTTGCAGGAGGGAGTGTGCATATGAGTGGGTGCTGGAACCGACTGGATGCTTTAGTCACAGTAGGAGCAAACTCTGTGCAGGCCCCGCCAAAGTGTCTAGGAGCAGGTGCCTGCGACTGTCGAAGCCCCAGAGGGCATGTTACAGTGCTCTTTTAGCTCTGCTGTCTGTAGACAGCTTAAATGTTAACAGCTCAGCAGACCTTTTGCCTTTTTTTGTGAGGTGGCTGCCCTTTGCCAGTGAGGGCAAAGGGCCAATGTGAAAGCCTTTTCTATCCACACTTGTGGCTCTTGAGCTCTTGTCTGGCCCCCAGGAAAAGGAGTTTTCATGAACAAATTGAAGGATGGTAAATGCAGGGGATTTTATTGCCAGTGAAAGTGGCTCTCAGTGAGAAGGGCCAAAAAGGGGACAGGGTGGGTAGGTAATCTTCTCAGGTTCAGCCACCTCCGACCAGATTTTCTTTGTAGTAACACCATCAAGCTGTCCTTCTGAAGTCCAGCCGCCTCTCTCCAGTATCCATTCTAGTCTATCAGATGAGTCTGGGATTTTTATAGGCATAGGATGGAATGGGACAGGGCTGTGGGTGGTTTAGGAAAAGGCAGCATTTGAGCTGGAAAACAGAGGTGTAAGTTCTCACTTTGGGCCACAGTTTCAGGCCTACTGGCTTGAGGGTTGATGTTTTGCTTGGGGACCTGCCCTTTTCTGCCTAGAATTTTTCTGACCCCTGTTCCTGAAATAATGGAACAAGAGTTCTCAAGACATTTGTCGTCATGCAGCAAAAGGTTGGTCCCTGAGGGATGGGAAACAAATTAGGTGAGATCATGCGATTGCTCTAGCTTCTACCTAGAGAGAGTTTGTAGGGATGGAACAAAGCAGTGGAACCCAGGAGGAGCCTAGAGATTTCTCTGTATTGAAGAGGTAGAGCTAGCTGGGAGACTGGGGGCCAAGGCAGCTAGAGTTTACAAGATACAGTACGAGAGAAGAGAAAGCTGCAAGAGACAGAACTTCACAGATTTGTAGAAATTCCTTTCAAGAATTCAGTTGACTACTGATGAATATTCGGTAGAGAAATGAGTGGAGGCTGCGGAAGAACCATCCAAAAGGAATTGAGAGAATAATACAATACTCAGAGCTCACACATGGCTAGGAGTAGGGCCTGAATCCATCAGACAAAAAACTTCCTAATTCAACAGGTATCAGGAAGGGATCTCCAACATTCTAGTTTTTATTCTAGATGTTCAACTTGGGTCTTTTTTGTTCTGTGTCTTTACTTAATATTCTTAACCTTTCTTGTGGCTTTTAGAATATGGAACAGATATATAATAACTTTTAGTGTCCTAGTCTTGAAATTCTATCAACACTGTCATTTCTGGGTTGGTTTTAATTGATTGATAGTTCTCCTTCTGACTCTATTTTCTTACCTTATTTTGTTTAACCTGCTTGGTAATTAATTGATGTGTATCAGGCGTGTAAAATAAGACATTATAAAGTGTACCTTGTTCGGTGCTAGACATTTTTATATTCCCGTATTCTTTTTTTTTTTTTCAAGAGATGGGGTCTTGCCCTGTTGTTGCCCAGACTATAGTACAGTAGCATGATCATGTACGGCAGTACTGAACTCTTGGGCTCAAGTGATCCTCCTGCTGCAGCCTCCTGAGTAGCTGGGACTATAAGTACGTGTCACCAGCCTGAGTGCCTATAGATATTTTTGAACTGTTTTCTCATCTGTATTGCAGTTCTTTGAAAGTGTTTTTTAACTTTTAGGTATTGCTTTTAATCTTTGTTAAGTGTAACCACTTAATCTAATTTTCCCCACAACTGAGGCAAAACCCTTCTGAATACTTTATGCTTCATCAATTATAAGGTTTTCCAATCTGGCTGTTGGTTTACAGATGTTAAGTTGAGGATCAGATTGTCCCTTCAAGGCTTGTTTTTAAGCTCTGTCAAGATCGTTTTAGAGTAATCTTTATTCCAGGACAAATTTAGCCCTCCTTAGTTCTGTACCTATTGCCTAGAGTGTAAAGAGATGTCTCTTCTGTGGCTGGATGGAACTCAAATGTCTCTGAGCTCAGTATCAACTCGGCGTTGTTCATATCTTAGCTCTTGGCAGATGTTTTTTTGTCTGACCTTATGGAATTTCATTCTAAGTGTCTGTAGATTAGTATTTAGTTGATGACTCAAGTGGACTCCAATGTACATGTCTGTAGCTTTTTTCTGCCTAAGTTTCTCCTGTCTGGTATATTATTCCAGTAATTCTTGCCACCTCCACTGTTCCAAACTCCATTCTCTACAAGTTAGCAAGACCGCTGTGGGCAGTGGTGTCTAGAACATGTCTCTAGGCATGACCACCTAGACCAAGGTGGTCATAGGGCTTACCTAGTTTCTTTTCTTGTTTCAGGGAACACAGATCTATGCTAATTGTTGTTCTCTCTCTGGAAACTGTTATGTATTTTCTCTGGTTTTGCAGTTGCTTACCATCTGAGGGTAAATCTGTTGCCAGTTATTCCATAATGGCTGGAAGCACATATTTCATACTATTGCATTATTGTGGAAGTTGGCAAAGACTTTTAGGTGAAGTTACGGGGGATCACAGTAAACCTTTGCTGATTTTAGACTTAATGGGTGTTTAGTAATTGTATGTTTATGGGTTTGGGGAATAGTTGACTATGTCTTCTTCGTAGATCTATGAGATGAGATAACGTAAATAATAAAGCATAATACAGGCTGGGCATGGTGGCTCATGCTTGCAATTCCAGAACTTTGGGAGGCTGAGGCAGGAGGATTACTTGAGCCCAGGAGTTTGATACCAGCATGGGCAACATAGCGAAACCCAGTCTCTACAGTATAGTAAAACAAAATAAATTTTAGAATCTTTTAAAAAAAGAAAATAGTTGCATTGCCTTTGTGGTGGGAGGAGTTTAAATTGGTGATGTTGCTTTTATATTAGTTCTAATTGCCTAAGATTGTTTTCAGTAGACTGATGCAGTTGGGAAAAAACTGCTTCTCACAATAATGTCAGAGAAAAATCTCATGTTGTTGGCATAACAGTAAAGCAACTGGCAGAAAGACATATTTCCATAGAATGTATTGTGTCTTTCTACTGTTGTTGAGTTTTTGTACTTGGTGATTTGCAGTACACACTCAGTGAACATTTGACGTGTGAATGTTAAGATCATTTCACTTGTCAGTTAATCATATTGATTGCTAAATGTGTGCCAAACATGATATGGATGAGGGAGAAGCAGCAACAAAAGAAGTAGGAGAAGGGTCCCTGATCAAAAGACTGCATGAGATGGTGCATGTATAAGGCTGCAAAATATTCTAGCGAAGATTAAAGGAGTATAGAATGATTATGTCAGCTCTCAGGGAGGGGGAGGTATAGATGGGCTGGATTTTGAGAAAGTTGATGGATATATGCATTGATTGATAAAGAAGGAAAAAAATCCCTGTTTTTTTTTTTTTTTTTTAAAGAAATGGTGCATTGCAAGGTGACAGCTGAGAATAAACAAATTATTTTATGGAAAGAAACCAAAAATAAATTGGCTTTAGTGGAAGTTTGTTTAGAAGATAGTAAAAAAACTAGGTTATAGAGCTAATCAAGGTGTCATACAAAATTGAGGGGAAATACAAAAGATTTTGAGCCGTGATCTGAAAAGATGTACATTTTTGAATGCCTTTTGTGTTAAAAGATAGACAGAGTTAAATAATTTTATGTTTAAAAAGCAAGTTATATGAGCGCTAACTTGCTTTAAGTTGAAATATGAAGCAAATTAAGCCACTGAGAGTTACTGAGTTTGGGTATAATTTGCAAAATGGAAACCCATTCCTTGTTGGCATTTGGAAAGTGCTACTTACAGAGTAAGTGAGTGTACAAAGTAAGTGAATTTGCATGTTATGACTGGCTACATAAGGAAAAGTTAAAGGGATTTAAAAATATATATAATGCTAACTGAAACTTGAATAGGGTTGAATATCATATATTTTTCTTTGGTTCCAGGTTGCTGCTTTTGCTCAGAGGACATCCATGACCCTAATGGTCTTTTTGTTCAAGATAAAGTGATTTATTGCCTTTATTGATTAACTGGACAAAATCAGGTTAGTATATTTTATGGACAGCACTTCCTTCTTGTAATTATATGTTAATGTTTTGAGAAATAGATAATTTTGTGATTAAAGCTCCGTATGTTGTGAGTACCAGTAAAGTAGAAAGGCCAAGTCAGTCTAAAGTCTGTTGACTTGTGTATTAGTTAAACATTTTTTGACTGACTACTATGTACAATATTCACTGCATAAATTGAAAAATCTTTTACTTTTAAATAGTTTTGTACTTTATGGGCTGGATAAAACCAGTTGTGGTTGAATGCAGTACATTGAACTTTTGGCATCATTATGTGGCATATTTGGTACTAAAAATAAGCAATTCATCTTAAACATTTCTGACATTTTTAGTAGCTGGCTTTTAAAGGTATTCTTGTCCAGATTTCAGTCATACATTAACATTTTTAAAAATTTATTTTTAATGTTCATTCTATTAATTTTGACATATATATTTGTCACTACAATTAAAACATTTTCCAAACCTTCCAAAATTTGCTCATATTGTTCATTGGTAGTTAACCTCTCCTTCTATCCCTGTTTCTAGCAATCACTGTTCTGCTTTCTATCCCTATAGTTTCCCTTTTCTAATTTGTCATTTAATTGGAATCATTTAATATGTAGTTTTAAAATCCTGGCTTCTTTCACTTAGAATAATGTATTTGAGGTTTATTCATGTTGCTGTGTGCATCAGTAGCTGTTTATCAGTAGTATTTTTTTTAATTGCTGAGTAGTGTTCCACTATATGGATATACCATAATTAATTTATTCATTTACCTGTTTATGGATATTTAGGCAGTTTCTAGTTTTTGATGATCATAAAACTGCTGCAGTCATATTTAAAAGACAAAAATGTGATTCTATGTTAAAAAAATTTTTTTCATTGATACATATTAGATGTACATATTTTCAGGGTACATGTGATAATTTGATAACTTTATGCAATCAATCAGGGTAATTAGAATATCTGTTACCTTAAATATTTATTTTTTTCTTTACGTTAAGAACATTTGAATTATTCTCTTCTAGCTATTTTGAAATGTACTATCAACTAATGTTAACTCCCTATTGATCTACTGAACACCAGGTCTTATTTCTTCTAAGTGTATGTTTGTACCCATTAATCAACCTCTCTGCATCCCCAAACTCCATATATTTTTTATTAATAGAAGTTACTTTTTGTTGCTGCTGATGTTAAAGGGCTATAATGATTTAACTGTTGCCTTTTAGGCCGTGGTTGCATTTCTTTTCTAAAATGTTGTTAAAAAATAACTAGAACACAATTTAACAGACATTGTGGCTAGGGGAAGAGACTTGGAATTGATGGTCATTTTGAATATAGAATGAGAAACGATGTAAAATTATTAGAAAGGGAGTATATTGGAACTTGTGGTGTTTTCTGATTTTAGACTTAATAGGTAGCTTTCTTGAATATAGTGGTATATCAGAAATATAAAAGTAGATTTATATCGTTAAGCTTCATATAGGTAGCTTCAAAAGTCATCTATAAAAGTCAAGTAAATTAGAATTCTCCTATCTTAAAAACATACTTAAAGAGGGTAAAGGTTGGGCATGAAAAAGTCAATTTAAACTTTCTTGAATGAATAGGATGAAAGTGATGGAAACTGTCTTTCTGCCTTGGGGAAATTAATGACCTCAAAAAGTAGCTTGAGAACCTATTTGAATATTTATAAGGAAACTGTAGTTCATTATTTGTTATAGAAATAAAAAGGTCTTGAGAAAGTATTATGCTCTGACTCAGAAAAAGTTGGATGGTTTAGACTCCAGTTTTTAAGCCTGGACACTAAAAGACTTACTGCAACTTTAAACTGTTCTCTTGTTTCTGAACATTTTTAGGTCAGTTATGCAACTTTCATAGTATCTCTGTAGATAAATGGCCTCCCATTTTGTGTTCTCAGAAAACATTTTTTAAAAACTTTTTTTTTTTTTTGAGACCAAATTTCACTCTGTTACTCAGGCTGGTGTGCAGTGGCTTAATCTCCGCTCACTGCAACCTCCTCTTCCTGGGTTCAGGCGATTCTCATGCCTCAGCCTCCCAGGTAGCTGGGATTACAGATGTGCATCACCTTGCTGGGCTAATTTTTGTATTTTTAGAAGAGATGGGGTTTTGCCATGTTAGCCAGGCTGGTCTCGAACTTCTTGGCTCAAGCAGTCTGCTCGCCTCAACCTCCTGAATGAAGTGCTGGGATTATAGACGTGAGACACTGTGCCTGGTCAGAGAACATTTCTTAAATAGGCAAAACGTTTCAGGCAGAGTCAGAGCATTTTAGATATTTCTGAAAGAGAACAGTTATTTGTTCAATGGGCAAATGCAGCACAGAGTCAAAGATAATCCTGTCCTCAGAAGTCATGATTTCTTCATGATTTTAGGGTATTTCGATTTTAAACCAGAATTCTAAGGTCAATATTTATCTAAAGTATTTATGAATTAAAGTCATATTTAAATTTAATATCCTTTAATTCACAAAATTTTTTTGAGGTTGTTAAAAAGTTAAGATTTTTCTAGCTACATATTCAATATTAGCATATTTTTTCCATATTTGGAAATCGAGATCCTATCTTGTACCATTTAAATAATAAACTGTTTTAGCTTAAAATTAACTGCAAAAGGAATAAACAAAAATTGAGTTTTGTAAAGAATATTAAATTGAGTAATTTAACTTTATCTTACCTGTTAGGTTAAGCAATGATCCCAGGATAAAGAGAGAGTGAGAATGATGAGTAAAATGAACCCTACACTGCAGTGTCTCCAAATAGCTGTATGAATAAAAGCTTACCATCTCACCTCTCTGTGTCTTTATTTACTTATTTACAAAAAAAGGCATTAAGGTCCACATTACAGTCAGGTATAATTGGTGAAGTTTAAAACTACTGGTTTCTTCTATTTCGTGAACACTGCCAGGCTTTGGAAATCAGTGATACAGTTTGATTCACAGTGAGAAACAGCCAAAAAATAAAACAATAAAATAACATTATATTTTAAAATGTTAAAAAATAATAAAATTAAAATAAAAACTTGAGATACTTTTCTAGAAATGGAGTATTTTAAAATGAAAATAGGATCTAAACATATCATAAGTATTTACTTGTGGATATTTGATATATAGGCTTGTTATAAGATTGTGACTTAGTTGAAGTGGTTTTAGTTTATACAGATTATTCAGAGATGAAAGTATATGTTTTTGCTCTATGTGTTTTCTCTGGAAACATCTTCTCATCATATCGTAGCAATTTTATCTTGATTCTAAAAATCTTTATAGTCTTGTAGGGCAAAGGAAGTAGGTATTGGGAGACATTTCTCTTCAGTCTTATTGGTCTCTTCTGTTTCTGCACATTTGCTGAGCAGAGTATTGATAGCTTTTGTTGGGGGCTATCTTTTTCAAAGAAATCTGTTTAGCAAACAGCCGAGGAAGATATAAATAGTGCTTCCGTTAGGACAGATGGCACATTTCTTTGCTGTGCAGGATAATTAAGATAATCTCTCTGGGGAAAATGTTGGGCATATTTGCTTGTAGCTCCTTTTGAAGATTGGAGTTTCATAAGATCAGGTTTTCTTGTCCTGTAATGCAACCCATAGTATATGCACTTAGTTTTCCTTTTATTGGCCTTTAGGAATTAGAGCCTGAGGAACCAGTACAAAATGTGGTATTCTGTCTATGTTACTGTTGTGAGTAGTAAACTGTTCTTTGTTCCAGACCTAAGAATGTCATAACTTCTGCCAGTATTAGCTGATACTAGCTTACCAGATACCACTAATACATCCTATTGATAAAACAAAGCTGAGTTTATTTCTTATTGTGGTAAGGGAGAACACCGCCTTGAAAGATCTTTAGTAGTGTCTTAGAGAGGTCAGATTTTGAGAATTTGAAGTTTGGTTTAAGTTGGATCTTCTAGTGGTGGCGATGGGGCTTGATTAGGATTGGGTAGATATCATGATAAAACAGTTTAGCTTTGGTGGAAACAGTAAGATAAAGATTTTGAAAACTGCTGAAGGGTGATGGGTCTTTCCAGAAGGTCTATAATGACCAATCACATTATATTTCTGCAAGAGTCTCCTAGAGTAGCAGTTATGCTAATTAAGACAGTGGACTGGTAAAGTCACATTAATGTGTGTAGAAAGCTGTGTGCATGAGTGTATTAGGGCTGCTGTAGCAAAGCACTGTAAGCTAGGTGGCTTAATATAACAGAAGTTTATTCTTTCACAGTTTTGGAGGTTAGCAGTCTGAAATCAAGGTGTTGGCAGGGCCACATCCTCTCTGAAGGCTCTAGGTAAGAATCCTTTCCTCCTTCTAGCTTATGGTGGATGCCAGAAATTCTTGGTGTTTCTTGACTTGTGGTAGTGTAACTCTCATCTCTACCTCAGTATTCACATGACATCTTCCCTGTGTGTGTGTCTGTATTCAAATTTCCTTCTTAAAAGTATTACTAGTCATGTATTAGGGTTCATTGTAATCAAGAATGACATTATGTCAACTTGATTGTATCTACAAAGACCATATTTCCAGCAGTTACAAATTTTGGGAGGACACTTATTTAATTCAGTATAGGGGGCATGTAGTTTCAATCCTCAGTGTCCCAACTGTATATAGGTAGATGGTATTCGCTCTCAGTGTCCATGAAACTATGGCAGACTGATGTTACCTTACATATAGGGTAAAATCTTCGATTCTTCAAAGTTCTTGACTATAGCATGGTATAGTAGAAAGAAAACCAGTCTGGAACTCGGAGTACCTTAGTTTTGCTCTATTTTTAACTAGCTTAAGAAAGTTACTATCTTCTTCAGCCATTAGTTTGTTTCTGAAACACCAGGGGTTCAGTCTAGGTTCTGCTGCTTGCTGCATAGAAAGCCAATCACTGAGACAACAAGTAATGCCAAGGAAGAAAGCTTTAGTCAGGTGTGACAGCTGAGAAAATGGGAGCTCAGTCCCCCATCTCCCTGACTGACTGTAACCAGGGTTTATTTAGCAGGGAAGAAATAT